ACGGCCCCTCCCGCCGCGGCCCCTCCCGCCGCTCCTTGGGCGGGCTCCGCGCTGCAGGCCAGCCCCAGGCTAGGGCCCGCCGCTTCCCCACCAGCCCGGCCTTCTCCGGGGTCTCCAGCCTGGCCGGGGCCCAGCCCGGCCTTGGCCTGGTCCCAAATTATTTAGGCAGAACAAACGCCTGGGAGGGGCGTCCCTGCAAGGATAGAGAGAGGCTGCTGCCATCACTGAGGGGGCCCGATACTGGAGTCTGGTGGTGTGAGCACACAACCAGCCCGGCTCTGGGATTTTATCCTTCCTAATCCCATGTAATTGTAATGCCTGGGAAAAGAAGGAACAACCTCTGCAGTGTTAGATTCGGCAGAGAGGAAAGAGACCAGCTCCCTCCCTGTGCGGCTGTTGCTGAGGAGGGTTCCCCTTCTGACAGCCTGAGGTAGGAGTGAGCTCTGGTAGAAAACAGCCTTTGTGTCTGCGACGGGAGTGAGGGACTGAACTATGTTCTGAGGGAAAGGGAGTGAACAAATACATAGAAATTTATATTTACTTTGAGAGTGGGGAGGCCCTGGCACAGGTTGCTGAGTGAAGCTGTGGCTGCCCCATCCCTGGCACCTTAATGCCCCCACACTCCTGGAAATCTCTTTGTGTCACTGATGGGATCAAACAGTTCAATTTACAGGCACAAATTGGTTCAAATTAATTTGTAAGGGCTGTTCAGAACTTGGAGGGGATGTGGCAGCCCAGGGAGGCTGTACTGACTCCCAGCTGGAAGATCCAGGCCTGGATGTGAGCAAGCTGTGCTGAACTGGGAGTACTGGTTATTTACAGACATATCACAGGGCTGGAGCTGACACAATTTCTATCCCTCTTTTCGCACTGTGCTTCAAAGGCAGCCAGATGACAGAGCACCAGGAAGGCTGGACAGAGCAGCTGTGGCTGCCCCATCCCTGGAATTGTCCAAGGCCAGGTTGGACAGGGCTTGGAGCAACCTGGGGTAGTGGAAGGTGTTCCTGCCTATGGCAGGAGGTGGAACAAGATGGGCTTTAAGGTCCATTTCCACCCAAACATTCCATGACTCCATGAAGGAGCGCTGGGGGACTTTGTCTCACTGGTGCCAATACAAAGCGATGCCAGAAAGGAGAGTCAGGAGGTTCTGCCCTGCATGGGCAGCTCAGGCTGTCCCCTCTGTGCATGCCCGAGGTGACCTTGGGGAAGGTGGCTTCAGTCACTGCCCTTGGACTGGCAATATGCTCCTTTGGGAGTAATCCAATATTCTGAGAGGACAGATATAACCTGATCCAGGCTTGGCCTTGCTGGGATGTGCTCCAGCCATGACATCACTCAGTAATGCCACGTCTGTTTACTACTGGGGAAAGGTGCTGGATTGGAGGCTGAAATCCCTGGTTTATCTCCTGAGCAGGTTAGGAGCAGGAAGCAGCATTGGCAGCCATATCTTGTTCTTTTCAGGCCAAGAGAAGTCAGTTTCCACAGGAAACACAGCTCTGCTCTGTCTGAGAATTCACCTCTCCTGTTTCCATGCTCCCTGTAAGACAGTCCTGCCCTCTGAGGCTCAGGAAGTGCCCCAGACCCCCACACAGCACTTTGCTAGAGGGGTAGATGGATATCTGGAATCAGGTGGCCACTGTGCTATCCACAGACTTCTCATTAATGAATCAAAGGATTAAATGTAGAGCTGAAGCTGCTGAAAGGTAAATTCAGACTTTTTATGGGATGAAAACTGCCCCCAGCAGCTAAGGCAGGACTTTGCTCCAGCAGGACAAAGCACACAGCTCCGAGGGTCCAGAGTTTCCTGCATCCCTCAGTGCTGTGCATCTCTGTCATGCAGCAGATGGGATTTTTTTGATTACTTTGCAGGTGACAAATCAAGGTCAAGGGATAGATGCTCCCCTTCAGCACAGCACGACCAAGAACACAGGAAAACGTTAGGGTCAGCAGCAAAGGATGTGCTTAAAAGACCACATGGTTTTCTCTCAAGCACAGTAAAACTCCTCACCAGGAATGAGCTGCTCAGCCTTTTTCCATGAGTCAGTCCAAACCCATCACACCTATTCATTCTTCAGGATCAGCTTGGCATCACAGTGAGTTCCAGTTCCATGGCAGAGGATAGCGTGGCACCGACACCGCTCCTCCCTGGGGCACAAAGCCTCCCCAGCCCCCGGGCCAGCCTGGGACACAGCACTGGGGCACAAATCTATCTTTGGGTCACCTCTAAAGCCCTAGGAGCGTAAGACAGGCAGGTGACAGATGGCTGGAGGCAGGGGATCATGGGGACTCGGCCACCCCACAGCAGCCACCGCTCCGTCTGCCAGCCAGGGCTTAGAAACCTCCGGAAAAGCTAACACGGGGAAGAGGGAGCAACACTCAGAGAGTGACAGGGTAAGGGGCAGAGCAGGGGGAGGGAAATGGCTGTTTGTGACTCAGAGCAGATTACTCTGCGGGAGTGCACTCCCCAGAGAGCTGCTGGAGTGAGTGGAGCTTGGAGAGGCCTGGGAATCCATCTGCGTGCGGGAGGTGGCTGAAGTCACCTCCCGGCAGACCAGAGGAGGTCACTAAGCTCCGAGTGAGCAACTGTCACTCCACACCCCTGAAATCCATAAGCAGCCTGGAAATCTAAAGCCTGTCATTAGGAATGATAAAAACAGTAATTAGAGCCTGGCTGTCATGAGTTCACACCTGGAACATCAATACGAGGTGTTTACCCAGCAGCAGGAGAGCACTTCCCCCGGAATCCATCCTCTGCGGATGCACCAGGCACAAAGCTCCACGGACCACTCTTCACACAGGTGTAAGTAAATCCTGCAGGGAGCCTTTAACCACCTCAACAGCAGCTCCCAGCTTTGAGGGATCCAAAAATGCTGCTGCTGTGGGGGCATTAGGAGCTACATCAGCTCCTGGGCCGTGGGCTGTGCCTGTCCTGATCCCAGTCCTGGTGTTTCACTGGGACTCAGCTGGGTGCACAGTGGGCTGCATCAAGGAGTTAAACCTTCAAAACAAAGATTTGGAGGCAAACAAGCTGTGCCAAGGAGTTAGATCTTCAAAACAATGCAGGTTTGAATATGAGAGCTGTTCCATGAATTTAGCCTTAATTACATCCTGTAGAGCTATAACCAGCTACCACACTGTAAAGCAGGTGAAAACCCCCACTTTTATTTCTTTATGGTATCACAGGTGGAACAGCTTAAGTTGGAGTGTCCTTAACAACAACAGCAACAGCAAAGAAATACAAGGATGGCTTGAAAGTAGCTTTATTTAGTAATGCTGAGTCTGTACAGAGCTAGGGAGATTCCTGCTGCAGTACAGCAGCTGTACTCCTCACTGTCTTCCCAAATGGCTGCTTGGTTTGCCAAACCCATTTCTCTTCAAAATGTTAATAGATGACATTAATTAAAACACGAGCCAAGCCTAAAGTAAAGGTTTTTTCTAATCAAAGTACTTCTAAATGATTACTCTCTTGGCCTCTGCGATGTTGGCACCTGACAGGTCACTCAGGGTTTACCCTGTACCAGCCATAAATTATTTCATCTATTAAAAATAGATTCCCATCCCTCCATCCTGCGAGGGGCTGAATCAGCAGGGAGCTGCACCCACAGTAGCACAGCCCAGGAATTTTTGTCTTTAGGGTTGGCATGATGGTTCCTTCCCTCACAGGACAGCTGCTGAAGGATTGAGGTGAGTTTGGTCACCCACAGGTTGCTGACACAGGTGCCATCTCCAGAGTGAGCAAGGAAGCAGTGCCAGAGCAGGGAGTGGAGGGTCAGGAGCTCTGTCCCCAAAGTCAGTGTCCTTTTAGCTCGCTGGGACAGACAGAAATAGGCCTGAAAGCACATTCCCCAAGCGGCCTAATTTCCCTGCCCTCACACAATGTTCTCTTTCCTCCTCAGCACCAGGGTATTTGTTTTATTTTAGGATTTAGGAGCTTACAACCTTTATCGAAGGATAAAGGTGCTCAACAATTGACTGTAATTTTTTTTTGGTTTTGGCTTAAGTATTGCAATTAAAGAGCAAAAGCCAGGCCAGTGTAACAAAGCAAGGCAGGTTAAACATCCCCACCACACAAGTCTCACCCAGAAAACAGCAGAACAGCCCCCAAACAAATAATCCTCTCATTCCTGCTGTCAGCTTCCCTTCTTTAAGTACTTGAAAGTTCCTCCCTGAACCAGGCTGTTGTGTTCAAGTAGAAAAAGGTCAGGGTGACACAGAAAGGGTTTAACTTCCTCCCCAGCACTGAATCTCTGACCTGGATGACATTCAAGGTTGTCAAGGAAGCAGTTACAAACAACTATATTTAGGAAATGAAAACACCTATTTCCTCTCTCCTCTGCTCAGAGGCCAACACTCACCTGCAGTGTTTGCAGGGAGCTGTGACAAGAAGCTTAATGGAAAGGAAGCAAAAAAAACCCCAACCCCCTTCTTTTCACTGGTTTAGTAGGTCTTATGGAGGAAGAAGATGGGTAGAGATAAAAAGACTAAGCCTAAGTAGAGCACAGGACCAGCTTAACAGGCTCAGAATAAACCTCCCTCCTGCTGTTATTTAACAGCAGAGCTGGACACGTGCTCCTGAGCCACTCCTTCCTGCTGGGCCCAGCACTGGGATTCCTCTTCCTGGGGGGCTGTGGCACCCCCAGCACACGGGACCTGTCCCTCAGGCTGCCAAGTGGGTGACCCTGGGTGGCCCTGCACATGCCAAAAGAGAATTCCCAGTTAGAGCCCTGCTCCTGGCAGAGGGGGGTTAAAAACCAGGAGTTTTCCAGATGAGGTCATAGGCAGAGCTGCTGCCTCCAGGCTTCCCCATCCCCTGCAACCAAAACAACAGTGATGACGAAGCTCTGCCACCCACACCAGGGCCCCAGGGCAGCGAGCTGGGACCTGCTCCTGGACAGGATTCCTCCCTGGAATTTGGCTGCCTTGGTGACACAGAGGGGCTGGGGCAGTAGATGTGTGGTACAAAATACAGACACACAAAACAGTGGAATGGTTTGGGTGGATGAACTTTGAGGTTTTCACCCCTGCCATGGCCAGGACACCTTCCATTATCCCAGGCTGCTCCAAGCCCCATCCAGCCTGGCCTTGGGCACTTCCAGGGATCCAGGGGCAGCCACAGCTGCTCTGGGCACCTGTGCCAGGGCCTGCCCACCCTCCCAGGGAACAATTCCTGCCCAATCTCCATCTGTGACCAGTGGATCCCAGGCTGTAATCAATCCCCACCTTGTCAACAAGACCGGAGCAGTGCCACGTCCAGTCCAGTCACTCCTTGAACATTTCGGGAGAATGAAGGAATGAGTGACATGATCCAGGAGGAATGACCTGTTTAGAAGATGTTTAAAACGCTTTTTGAGGAGGCACTCTGCACATAAAAACTGAACAAAAGCATTTTCGTGTTCTGTGATCAGCACTTGAAAGGATCAGAGAAAACAGGCCCAAAACCTGGCGTGGTCAGGAGCGAGCGGCCATCCCAGCATGTCCCTGTCCCTGTCCTGTGCTCTCCAGGGGATCCCCCTGGGCCGGTGGAGCACTCACTGCCCCGTCCAGGGCACCTGTGTCCCCCTCACTGTCCTGCCGGGCAGCGACTTCCACCGCCGCCGCTTCGGAGCGCCAGGGCACACCGGCCCCGGGAGCTTAATGAGGGTGATGAAGGCAGAGCTTCCCCAGCACCCCCAACACCGGAGCACCGCCAACCGGGCAGTGCCCGTTCCGGTGATCTCGCAAAGCCGAGGCAGCGCGGCGGACCCGGTACCGAGGCTTAGCTCAGCCCGCACGTCCTTGGGGGGCCTATCGCTGTCCCGATCCTAGTTCCGGTCCCGGAGCTCGGCACGGCACGGCCCGCACGTCCCTGCGGAGCCG